AATTTCATAGAATCCAACAGATATTAAGAAAATAACCATCAACACTACCTATTCGAGGTCGGCGATCTAGTAGAGCTTCAAGGTTGCAAGTAGCTATTCAGAAGACATACCTAAAATATGGGGTCGAGGGAGGGGTTCGTGATTCAGAACAAAGCTGCCGGAGAGAGAGAGAGAGAGAGAGAGAGAGAGAGAGAAAAGGGGGCTGAGCGAGCTGAGAGAGAACCAAATTTCTGAAAATGTGATATGTGTGCAATAAGTGGACAATAAATATATATTTATAGGTTATAGTTGTGAAAAAAATGGGGAGGGGTGGTATTTTCAGAAAAAATTATAAAATGGGTGGCATTTTGAGCTATTTCCCTAATATATAACATAGATATAGGCTTTAAAATACACAATATATATAGGATGACATCATTTTGACGTCGAGGGAAAGAAAAAAAAGGAACCGCAAGCAACGCTGCATGCTGGAGGATGCTGCACGCTGGGGAGGAGTAGCACTGCGCTCTCTTTGGGGACTTTCGTCGAGTAGTTTGCTGGGGTCAATTTTCTCCCCTCTAATGGTAGATCCCAGAATTGCAGGAGTCATTTGACCACCTTTGCTCCTCTGTGGATCCGTCTTTGATGAGATGTAAGAGAAATTAAACAGGATCTCCCCACAGCGTAATAGTTTGCTTAAATTGCTTGAATTAATGAAAAGAAAATTAAACTTTTTCGATTAGGACCAATTCCAGTAAGCTTTATTTGTTGAGTTGTTTTGTTGACTCCATGTATGCAATTACTAGTATTTTAGTATTTGCATGTAGATGCGCAGTATGACTTGACAATTTATATGCAATTGCTTAGGGTGGATCTGCAATTAGCAAGACTGCATGCATTAGCTCCCATAAAAAATTCTTTTTCATATGATGACTTATTTCTTTTAGCGCACATAGTTAATTACATATGAAATGAACAGTTACATGGATGCAATAGATTTGAATATCTGATCTAGCTCCATCTAATAGAAAACAAGCCGTGTATAGCACTATACCTATGGTTTGTTGTACCAGCCCGTTGTAGATATGGGGTAGCAATCCACAAAAATCATAACAAAAAAATTTAGATACTAAATCAAGCAATGTAGAAGGACTTGTATTTCTAACTGCTGTCTGGAACCCAACCAAGCAATTGATTAAAGCATTGGCTACTAAATCAATCATGATGATCTCAGAAATCCTAACACACCTTTCCACATAAAAAAGCCTTTTCTTTTTCGTTTAGCACAAATTCGTCGAATGCCTTACAAGTTGAGGAATAATGATAATGATAGTGATGAAGATGATGATCGATCACACTCACCCTTCCTGCAACAGAATAGAAACCGATATCTCTTGACTGGTGAGCAAGGTTTAGCCATTCCGTATACGGAACTTGCAGCCATGGATTAGTCGTAGACTAGTGTTCGAACCACTTAATTACTTGATTGTGAGGATGAAGCCTACTTAATTACTTGCTAGTTCTTCTCAATCTGAAAGCTGCTGCTCTGGCTGACGCTTTGCCTTAAAATTAAAAGGCTTAAGCAAAGAAGCAAGCAAAGCACAAGCAAAAGTTGCTAAAGCAAAGAAGACTGAGAGGATCGGCCATGGTTTCGGAACCGGTTCACTCGCCCAAAATCAACAGTATGGGCTACTACAATATTATGGTCCACCTCTGTCACTCAAAAGGCCCAAAAGCACATTCCAATTATATATTAGCAACCCAAAATGAACAATTGGTACTCCCACTTCCTTAAACCTGTTGTCTGTCTGTAATTAAACACCAACTCTGTCATGGGCCCAAATTTGAGCTCATACGTCATGGTAAAGCGATGAGTTTTACTTGTGACATCATTAGCTTCTAATCAACAGGTCATGGGCCCAAACCTGAGCTCGGAGCCCAAACTTGCAGCTTTCCGAGTTTGCCCTTTGTGCGCACGTCTCGCCAACTCCTCTTCAATTACTTCCGCCAACTGTTCTCCAACTCCTCTTCAATTTATTAATGAAGTTCACATTAAGGACATGCTAATTTTTTTTCGGTCTTATGGAGATGTGTATCTACTATCTAGAATGAATTAATGCAAATGCCTATGGGTCTTTCAAAAGTACTAAATTAATTAATGACGTTTCAATCAATCACATGGTTTTGTTTTGTATTAAGGAGAAGTCTAGAATGCAATCATAAAAATGGAGCATCCACATTGGGTAAATTCAAAAGACTGGTAAAAAGAATTCACGTATATGATATCAGTGAAGATGCTCAAGGAAATCGAACTTATTGAAAACCAAAACAAAGAAAATTTGGCCAGCAAACTATCAAGGAATTAATGTGTGTTCATAGGACTTAAATTGGAATTTTAAAGTTAGACACGTACACACAGTCTAGTTTTGCAGACCCTCCAATAATTATATAGTTTTTCAAGAGAGATTTTTTCAGCCGATGTGGTTTTCAGGTGACATCCCTTATTATAAACTGATTAATGGCTATCCTATCTATGGCCCACAAGTACAAGTAGTAGAAATAACATAATCAAGTTCACATTAAGCACCGGAACAACAAATAAGAAAATACTAGGCTGAACTTTGTTTTATTTGAAGACGTGAAGCACGCTCTAGTTTGTTTTATTTGAAGAATATTATTACTTCAATTGTAGGATAAATTTTTATATGTTTTGAATACACCAGTGGCTGGTCATGATTTTGGAACCGATTCACTCGCCCAAAATCAACAGTTTGAGCTACTTCAATATTATGGTCCACCTCTGTCACTTAAAAGGCCCAAAAGTACATTCCAATTATATATTAGCAGGCCAAAATGAACAATATCATATCATGGGTGCTAATAATATTTTGGTCCATCACTTAAAAGCCCAAAATTAATTTAACCCAAAAAAATTATAAATTAACTCTTAATTACTTGAACTATAAACTTCATGCACAAACCATATAGTTAAGTCCAACCCTAAAAAAAACATATAGTTAAGAGGAAATAATTGAAGAAACTAAATATATAAAAAACAGGTTTATTTAAAATTATTAGTAAAAAAACAACACATTTGAAATGAATTCAATAGCTTCACACAAGAAATTGAAATATAAATTCATGTCTTCTTTTTGTTTCCCTTTAATTTAGTTGTTTTTAGGATATAAATTAAAAAGAATCGTCCACTGTTCATCACCACTTTCATTTTTAACTTCTATTCATGTAGTTTTCCTAGTTTGCCCTTGCGTGCGCGTCTCTCCAACTCCTCTTTAATTACTTCCTCCAGTTGTTCTCCAACTCCTCTTCAATTTATTAATGAAGTTGATATGCTAATACTTATGTCTTATGGAAATGTCTATCTAGAATGAATTAATGCAAATGCCTATATGTCTAAATTAATTAATGACGTTTCAATCAATCACATAGTCTTGTTTTGTATTAAGGAGAAGTCTAGAATACAATCATAAAAATGGAGCACCCACATTGGGTAAATTCAAAGACTGATAAAAAGATTTCACATATATAATATCTTATCAGTGATGCTCAAGGAAATCCAACTTACTGAAAACCAAAACAAAGAAAATTTGGCCAGCAACTTTCAAGGAAATGTGTGTTCATAGGACTTAAATTGACATTTTAAAGTTAGCTACGTACACAGAGTCTAGTTTTGCAGACCCTCCATTTATATGGTTTTTCAAGAGAGATTTTTCCAGCCGATGTGGTTTTCAGTTGCTTAATTTGCTTCCTTCTATGACCTAGCTTGGTTTGGTTATGAATTTATGAAATGAAACCCAGCACATGTTATGCTCCCTAAGATTAAGAATGACCTGGGCCTTCAGCCCTCGCTGTTCAGTCCTAATCAATGACATTATTAAATTGATAAATGGCTATGGCCCATAATAAGTACAGGTATTAGAAATTACATATTGGGCGCTAATAATATTATGGTCCTTTACTTCATTTTGGGTCCAAAATAATATTATTGGCCGGACAAAAAAAAAACGGAAAAATGATATTATTCACACGATTAATTAATGACGTTTCCATCAATCACATGGTTTTGTTTTGTATTAAGGAGACGTTTCAATCAATCAATCACATTGGGTAATTCAAAGACTTATCTGATGCCATCGGATCAGTGATGATGCTCAAGGAAATCCAACTTCATCTTATTAAAAACCAAAACAAATAAAATTTAATATTAATGTGAAATGAATTTAAAAGCTTCACACAAGAAATTGAGATATATGAATTAATATTCTCTTTTTCGTTTACTTTTTTTTCTTTGATTTATTTGTTTGTAGGGTCTAAATTAAAAACAATCGTCTGCAACTGTCCTAAACTTACGCAAAATCGATAGATTTTGCTTAAGAGAAAGGGGTTTCTTAGCAAAAAAAGAAGAAGTTTTGTATGTGTGAAAGGAACAATTGAAACTATGTATTACTCTTCTAAACTTATCATACGTCTGTGATTAAAGTATGTAAACATCTCAACAACTTTGTTGTTCAATCCTAATTAATGACATCATTATAATGTGATAAATGGCTATGGCCCATAAGTACAAGTAGTAGAAGTTACAGATTGAAGTTCACATTAAGCACCGAAACAACAAAGAAGAAAATAGTAGCCTTAACTTTGTTTTATTCGAAGACGTGAAGCACGCTTTAGTTTGTTTTATTTGAAGAATATTATTACTTGTTCCTTTCAAAATTGCCACCTGGCTTGACTTTTTATTTTTATTTTTAATGGCTTCAATTTTCTCTGTTTCGCGGGCCAACTTTGGATACGTACAGCAAGAAAAAGAAGCAAAAGCTGCATGCATGCATGTGTATGCATGGTTTGGGTTTGGCTTTGCTTGATTATAAATAGCACATCAGGTTGGAGCTAGGGAAAGCAATAAGCAACGAGAGAGAGAGAGAGAGAAAGAGAAGTGAGTTTATTAAAATAAAATAAAAATTCAATCATATTGAAGCGCTCTAGCGAGCGAAAGATCATCAGAAATGGCATTACAACTGCCAGAGCATCTTGCGCTGAAATCAGAGTACAACCACAAATACTTGCGCTACAGAGATTACATCGATACGGTGCAAGGGGTTCTCCACTTCTCCGGAGAGGAGGTTGTGAGCCCATACACAAAGTTCCATGCGGAGGACTCCGGAATTAGTTCCTGCTACAACAACAAATTCTGGAGGACGGCAGGTGAAGAAGATAAGCGGATTGTGGCCGATGTTGACGAGAAACCGCCAAATCCTCTCTTCAATTTCGAGTATGTACACCAGGAAGACAAAATCGTACGGTTGTTCGACGTGCAACACAATAAGTATTTACAGATACGCCCTGAAGACGAATGCCTCATTGTAAGCGATGTATTGCCAGACCACAACCCTACTTTGTTCAACTTCAAAGTCATCGACTGGGATACGTTGGTGATTTTCCCCACGCTTGTTGCCTTCATAGGCGACAATGGCTCCTACCTCAGAGTCCAATCCAATGGTGAATACCCATTTCTGCAGTTCTCGGCCAATGAACCTACTGATCCAACGGTAGAGGTCGAGGTCTCCTTTACCCGTGATGGATACGTTCACTACAGGTCCACCTACAATCAAAGGTTCTGGAAGCGTGCAGCTGGAACTAACTGGATTTTGGCTGACACAGACGACACCACAGTACAGGACGCAACGTTGTTTTGGCCAGTCAAGGTAAACATCGGGAACGTCAATGTCGTTGTAGCTCTCCAGTGCAACAACAATTTCTGCAGGAGGTTGAACTGGGGGGCCGGTATAGAGAGTCTGAATGCCGCCCTCCCCTCCCCCCTCCCTCCAGTTACCCCAGAGGCGCACCTGACAGTCAGAGAGCTTGTAAAGTCCCGGACCATCTTTGATCTCAACTTCCACGTCGACGATGCCAGGATCTATAACCGCAGACACAACGTCGTCGTGGCCACCGGAGTAGCCCAAAACAGAACCCTAAAATCGGCCTATGCAGTCATACTGCTCTCCTATGAAGACACTAGTACTTGGATTTCCAATCTTGACGACTTCGCCTTCACGTCCCTCATCCCAACCACCCTCACCTCTGACACTCTATTCGTCCTAAACGACGACGAGGGAGACATCATCGGAATTTTGGGTCACTTTGACGGACCATACCACTGGGGTGAAGATCACATATCAAAAACTCAAATTCGGTTCCCGGTTGTTGTGCCGCCAATGAGTAAGGTGAAGGTGACCCTTTTAGCTACAACTACATCATGCGACATTCCCTTCTCCTACTCTCAGCGGGACACTCTTATTCGCCAAACCCCGGCAGCTATGACCTACATCAAGGAAGGTGGCCTTTACACTGGGGTCAGTTCATACAACTTCAAGCACAGGAGAGAAACAGAAAGGCTTGCAGGATGATCATCCTGTGAAATTATTGATGTTTGTGGGTTGCGTCGCTGGAAACCCTCACGAGACTTCACTCGTCCCATCAGGGTCACCTATGGGTTTAAAAGGCTTGTTGCATAGGCTAAATGCAATCGCGTTACCTGCGAAAGTGGCATTGTCTTAAGTTTTCCTTTCGTTGTGATTTGGGTTCAATAATATTGCATGCAGCTGCGGCTCATGTGCTCATGCATTCATGCATTAATTTATGTAACCTATAAGACTATCTGTGGGAATAAAAGTTGTGCTTCTTTCGTTTTACTATTCCGATCCAGATCACTTGCATTCATGCATTACTTCCATGATTCAAGAGTTTTAATTAATTAATTCACTACTACATTTTTCAGTTTGCACGACGAAGGAAGAATGGTCACGCAACGCACAAAGTGGTCGCACAAATAACAGCGCGACAGAACTTGTATTTATCATCGCGCATACTCCTTCGTTGCAGCAATAGTTCAAGGACGACATATTTTCCGTCGCGCAAAATATTTGCGCGACGAAGAGTCAGGCGTTACAAGAACACAGTGCGACGACATGGCTTCGTCGCGCAACATATTTGCGCGACGAAGAGTCAGGCGTTGCAAGAACACAGTGCGACGACATATCTTCGTCGCGCAATGTGTTTGCGCGACGAAAAGGCAGGCGTTGCAAGAACATAGTGCGACGACATGTCTTCGTCGCGCTAAAAGTTTGCGAGACGTGAAGGCAGGCGTTGCGATGAGTAATCGTCGTCGCGCAAATATGAAGGACTTGTGTCTCAAATAGTTGCGCGACGAGAATTGATTTGTTGCATTTTCTTTGGGGGACGAAATATTCCGTCGCGCAAACCTAAAATATATTGTTTTAAAATTTAATTTTATGGTTTTTTATTTTGTAAAAAGTGATTTTCGCGACGAGTATGTTTTCCGTAGCGTAAAAATGAGTAATTTATTTATTTTTTTTAGCTTTGTGTAAAAAATAATTATGGTTTTTTTATTTTTATAATTAAATCAAATTACAATAAAAAAATGTAATGAAGAGAAATTGTTTTTTAAAACATAATATAAAAGTATAATACAAGAGAAATGTTTAAAATGTAATTAAGAAAATAAAAAACTAATTAAACAATGTAGCTAAATCTACTTTGTCGTCTGTGTTAGAAATGTGCCCTAAGAGCCAATACATTTGATGTAATCTCCTTAGAATACATTTCGTATATGATAAATAAAGGGCAATATTATTTTGTTATCTTTTATGTCGTGTAAAGAAACAAAAGTCCAGGGTGTACTAAATAAGAGATAAAGTAATCTAAAGAAGTTTAGATTCGGGAGACCTTTAATCTCTAACTGTAGTATCCCAAAATGTTCCTAATCATAAGGTTATCAAATGGGCATTGATAAACCGTCAAGATTGGCACATACTATGTATGCTCAATGATGAGGATGGTTGGTCTCAAACCATTTGTGTAGTTGACACTAATACAAGTATGTGGGTGCTCATTAGTGAATGAGTACACTGAACGCGATCAACCGGAGTTCTCGTATGGAGTATTTATCTATATGTCAAACGAGAACTCATAGTTGCAATAATGCAAATTAGTCCTTAGACCTGAGGCATCATGGTTGTCCTGTGATGCGTTATTGATCTTTGATAACTCACAAAGGCAAGTCGTAAAAGATTTTCCTTATCTGTTATTGGGATCTCTTAATTCATCATGGAGATATGTGAATGTACAATAAGGAATCTCTACCTTGATAAAGAAAGGAGAATGTTTCAAGATATGATTCAGTGAATCTTCGGCCGAAGTACTTGAACATGATTTAAAAAGTGTTTTAATTATGTTCTATTGAATCATATGAGGTTAATCATATTAGGGGTTTGACATTATCAATCCGTACCCTAACAATATGATTGGAAACATTGTACAAGAGAAGGACCGTATTGCATTGCAATTCCAACTGAATAGGTTCTTCATCTATTATAATTAGCTTGGGTAGCCATGATATATTGCTAGATGTCACTCTTGGCTTGTGGAAGTCCTAGGACTGATTGTGATCAATCCAAAATAAAGGAAGAATTTGGGTATCAAGCCCATGGACTTAAGACACCTAAATTATGGCTTAAGTGTCATAAGGCCCAATTTTGGAAGCCCAATGGGGTTTGGCCGAAAATGGTTAAGTGCATGTGTATGGGAATTGTTTCCATAAGCTCATTTGACACACAAACACAATCCAACATCAACCAAAGAGGTTTGGGAGATCAAAGAGAGATAGTTGTGAGTTTTTCAAGAGTGAAACACAATCTTCTTTCAAAGGGGTTTAGATTGAAACCAATCTTGAGAATCTTGTACTAGCATCCTTGTATTCTCAAGATACCTCTTCTCATCTCAAGGTTTCATTGGTGTGGAGACTTAGAGGCCATATACTTTTGTGGCTCACAAGGAGGAGAAAGATCAAGAGGAGATCAACAAAGGAAAATCATCAAGAGAAGACCAAAACACAACTTGGTTCATATAATTGCTTCAAGGGTAATTAGATCTTATCCTTTCTCTTGAATTTTCATTTATGAAAAACATATCAATGTTCATGGCTTAAGATACTTGGAAGAAGTTTTGTTTTTGAATTTAAACAACCACCATATCCTTCCGCTGCGATTAATTTGATTAAATGCATGTTTAATATTCAAATGAACTTCTTAAAAAATGTTTTAACATAACATAAAATATTAATTAAAACATTCATATAATAACCATGAAACTTGAACGCGTAAGATAATAATTAAAATTAAAGGCTACTTACATGAAGGGACTCCGCCAACTCATTCCCAGGTCGAACATAAACGTCGCCAAAGACGTCAACCTCTGGGAATTTGGACCCCTCCTAAATTGAACAAGAGAAGAAAAATGTTAGAATGAAAAAACAAATTACTATTAATGACATATTAAAAATTAAACAAAAACGACTTTATTATTACCCGCCGCCGCGCCTCCATCCCATAAGAGAAGGGCCTGGAACCTGAATGGTGGAGAAGAGTCTTCTTCTCCCTATTGCCCTTATTTGCTATCTTCTGTTATACAAAAAATAAAACGTATTATTTGAAATTCAAATGAAATATAAAAAAATTAAATAAATATTAGTAAGAAACGTGTAATAATTTT